TGTGGTTAACCAGATATTTGTCTCCAGGATATATAAAGAACTCAGTATTGAATTAAAAAACAAACAAGCTAACAAAAAATAGGCAAAAGGCTCCAATGATTTACAAAACAAAATATATGAACAGCCAATAAGCTCATGAAAGGATGTTTAATGTTTTTAAGCATTAGGGAAATTCAAATAGAAACCACAATGAAATGCCACTACACACCCATTAGAACAGCTAAAATTAGAGCTGGCCAGTTAACTCAGACGGTTAGAGCACAGCCTTGTAACACCAAGGTCAAGGGTTTGGATCCCTGTATCAGCGGCTACCCCCCAGAATAAAAGAATAGCTAAAATTTTATTTTATTTATTTATTTTTAAAAGATGACCGGTAAGGGGATCTTAACCCTTGACTTGGTGTTGTCAGCACCACGCTCTCCCAAGTGAGCCATGGGCCATCCCTATATGGGATCCGAACCTGTGGCCTTGGTGGTATCAGCACCACACTCTCCCAAGTGAGCCATGGGCCGGCCCTAAGAATAGCTAAAAATTTAAAAACTGCCAATATCAAGTATTGACAAGGATGTGGGGATGCTACCTGGCTGGCACTGAACTGGAAATAACTCAAATGTCCATCAGCAAAAGAATGGATAAATAAATTCTGGCATGTTGCTACCGTGGGATAACAGAGTAATTAGAATGAACAAGCTACTGATTTGCACGAAGTGAATAAACCTCAAAAATATAATGACGAGTGGAAGAAGCCTTTCACCAAAGTCATCATAATGTATGATTCCAATTATGTAACGTTCAAAAACCGGCAAAGGTAATCAATGACATTGGAATCGGGATACTGGTTGCCTTTGGAGGGAGGTCAGTGACTGGGAGGGGCTGGGGGATTCCGGGAGGCTGGGAAAGGTCCACATCTCGACTTGTGTTGGTTACATGGTGCGTTCACTCAGTGGAAATTCACTATGCTGTGCGCTAATGATTTGTGTGCCCTTCTGTGTGTTTATTACGCTTCCATAAAGAATTTTTTTTAATCCAAAGAAAATAGTTTATGAATTAGAAAGTGAAAATCTCCTTCCTCCCTCCAATCCTATTCCCCAGAGGTAATCATGACTACAAATTGGGTCGTATCTTTATCTAGAATTATAAGTATATTGACTGAGACGTACCGACTATCCTACAATTGCACTTTTCACTTATCTTGGAGGATGTTCCGTAACAGAACATGAAGAACTGCCTCCAATCTTTTGTCAGCTAAAATGGATTCCATTTTGGGCTGTACCAGACACAATTTAACCAGTTACTCACTGACTGTTATCTATCTTTACTATGAACTCAGGTGGGTGGGTGGGTGGATGGATGGATGGATGGATGGATGGATGGATGGATGGATGGGTGGGTGGATGGGTGGATGGATGGGTGGATGGGTGGATGGGTGGATGGGTGGAATGAATAAATAAATGAATTTAGAATAGAAGGAGCGTGGGCTTAGAGGGGATCTAAGTGGGGGACAGGACTCAGAGCACCTAGGGGCCCAGAAAGGATGGAACCTCAGAGGTAGAGGGGGTCAGGGAGGCTCAGAGAGGGGAATGGGGACTTGAGGAATGGGAAGGAGTTCCCAGAAAGGGACAGGGTCTCAAGAAGAGAGATAGAGACTCACAGAGGGGTGGCCTCTCAGGAAGCGGCATGGGGACTCAGGGCAGACTGGGGTTTAGAGAGAGAAATGGAGGCTTAGCGAGGGCTATGGGTGCTCAGACAGAGGGTAGAGCTTGCAGAAGGGCTGGGGGCTCAGGTTCCAAGGCAGGGTGGGGGCTTGGTAAATTCTCTCCTTTACCCACCTCCTTTCTGCAGGCAGTGAGTACCACGCTGGGCACTGGACACCCTTAGCCTCTCTGCCTACACCCCTGGGGGCCTCTTCTACACTGTCCAGGTGCTTTGATGGAGCTGCCTTAAGCAGAGTGTTTGATGGAAAGTTACCTGCCTGGGACCACAGTTCATCGGAAAGGCTTTGGGCCCTACGGGGTGGCGGGGCGGGGGGTCGAGCTCTTCCCTCACCAGGCTGGGGTCAGAAGGGAGGGTGCTGGAGGCCCCAGTGTGGGGTGTATCCTGGCCCCTGGTGCCTCTCCTTCCCAGAGTTTTCTGCCCAGTTGTCCTTTTGGTCCCAGCTGCAACTTCACTTTTGATGAGGTTAAATTATCCTGTTCCCCACCAAATCAACCCCAGTCCAAGCAAAGGGCCCTGTGGAGGGCACAGTAGGCATGGCCGCCTCATAATGCTCCTCCCCCTTGTCTCCTACCCTGGACAATGGCCGTGGCACATCTGAATAGACAGCCTCCCTCCCCATCTGGCTTGATGGGAACGCTCAGCCACTTCCTGGCTGTGTGACCAGGGCCTTGGGGACTCATCCATGTACTAGGGACAGTTACACTATTGACCTCCTGGGGTGGTGGAGCGAGTGGCCTAGGATCAGGTAGCAAGGCACATGGCACATACTAAGCCTAGCACATGGGGGCTCGGCAGATAATGGCTGAGCGGTCTTAGAGCCCATCTGAAGAGATTCAAATCCCAGGCTCTGCCTCTGACATACTGAGTCCCCTGGCCAGTGCCTAACCTGAGCCTGCTTCCTCCCTGGGCACAGCCTCTCCTCCCAAGACCACGGGGACAGTGCCATGAGGTATTTTGCATTAGGACACACTCAACGAACACCTTGCACAGAACAAACGCCCAGGAAACAGCAACCTGCCCCAGACCCACAGCAGAAAAGGGTGGAGTTGGGATTTGAACCCACCTCTGAGTCCAAACAGCTAATTGTTAATGTTTTCCTAGCTCTTTCCATGGGCCAAGACCTGTGCTGAATGCCTCATACATGTGACCTCCTCGCTAAGCCCTCCTGGCTCCCTTGGAGGGGTTGCTGTTGTAAGAGCTTGGGGTATACATGGAGTCCTGTCCTTGGCTCTTGGCGGGGGGTAACTTTGGCTGCATTCTTTCCTCTGTTTCCAAGTCTGCAAGTTTGTTGAGAAGGGCACTGAGGGAATCCACATGAGCACGGTGCTTCGCATTCAGTAAGCACTCAATTAATGCAGTTGTTAGAACCTTCCCCATTTTACAAAAGTGGAAACCAAGGCTCAGAGTAAGGTCTGAGCTTCTCAGAGGCCCAAGGAAATGTTTGCAACCTAGAAAAAATGGGGCACCATATTCATAATAGCCAAAAAAGAAAAACAATCTAGTGTCTGTCAGCTGATACACAGATAAGTAAAAAGAGGTCTATCCATGCAGTAGAATATTATCCAGCAAGAAAAAGAAATGAAAGACTGATTCAATGTGGATGAACCTTGAAAACATTTCGGTAAGTAAAAGAAGTCAGACACAAAAGGCCACATGTTGAATGATTCCATTTATATGAAATGTCCAGAATAGGCAAATCTACAAACACAAAAAGTAGGTTAGCGGCTGCCAGGGCCTGGGGGAAGAGGGTACATGAAGGGTTGGAGGGTGATGGCTAAGGGGTGTGCGGTTTTTTGGGGGGTGATGAAAATGTTCTAAGCTTGATTGTGGCTGTGGTTGCACAACTCCGTGAATGTAGGAAGGACAATTGAATTGTGCACTTTAAATGGATGAATTGTCTGCTATGTAAATTATATTTCAATAAAGCTGGCGGGGGTTTTGGTGTTTTTTTTTTAAAGATGACCGGTAAGGGGATCTTACCCCTTGACTTGGTGTTGTCAGCACCACGCTCTCCCAAGTGAGCCAACTGGCCATCCCTATGTAGGATCCGAACCCGTGGCCTTGGTGTTATCAGCACTGCACTCTCCCGAGTGAGCCTCGGGCCGGCCCAAAGCTGTTTTTAAATGAGGGACCAAAGTCTGAAAAGAACATTGCCAAACTGAGATTAATACATGTTTAATTAAATGTCTACAAACTGCAACATATTGTTCTCAACTCCTCTCTCACTCTTTTGCATATCAACGACATCAAAAGTGTCATCTTGGGCCGGCCCGGTGGGAGCGGCGGCGCTCCCGCCGAGGGTTTGGATCCCACATACAGACCGGTTCCCGCTCACTGGCTGAGCGAGGTGAGGGCGCAACACCGAGGGTTGCGATCCCGTTGCCGGTCCCGGTCCGGTATGGGCGCGACACTGAGGGTTGCGATCCGTTGCCGGACACGAAAAAAGACAAAAAAAGGAAAAAAAAAAAAGTGTCATCTTCGGAGGGTGAAATGTGGAGGGTATATCCTCTGGACAGCTTACCACAGTGTGGGCAAAGAGAGGTTAAGCAATTCCCCAGAGAGGAACAGGAACTACAGCCCAGAGAGGGGCAGCTTCCTCCCCAGGGTCACACAGCTCTGGGGCTCCAGGAGTCCTGATTCTCCACATCCCCGAGTTCAAATGTGCGTGAGGTTCCAACCCCAGCCCCAGTGCTGACCCCTGGCTGCCTCGTCTTTCTGACTTCTCAGGAAAACACACACACACACACACAAGCCAGGAAGCATCCATCATGTGCTGTCCAGCCCAGGCCGGAGGGGCAGGGGTCAGCAGGGAGGTGACCTCAAGGTCTCCATGGGGACCAGGATCCAGCAAAGCTGAGGGTGAGAGGCTGGATATTTTCCCACCCTGAGATTTTCCTGTGTCAACCCAGGAGGGTGCCCTGGATGCCGCCAGCCCTGCCCCCAACCTCCTTCCTTTCTTGACACTGCTTCCCGGCTGAGGCTGAGGATGGTTGGGGAGGACATGCCAAGTGGATCCACCATGCCCAGAAAAGAAGGACAGGCACTTTGGGATTGACAAAATGAGGAACCCTGGCTCAGAGTGGGCGAGAGCCTGCCTCAGAGTCACACAGCACGGGGACTTGGTGTAAATGGGGTGGCTGGCTGCTCCCGGCCCTACATGGCCTCCCTCCACTGCCCTGCCCAAGAGCTGGACCCTAGCCCGGCCTTGGGCGTGTGAGAAGCCCTTGGCCCTGGGCCCTGCCCGGGTCCTTCCTCCCCCCACGCACCCGGGACTCAGCCCTTCCTTGTGTTAAATAGAAACCTCTTTATTCTAAGTATCAAACATTCCTTAATACATTGGATTTGGGCCAGACCTTGAGGTGAGGGGGAAGTGGGTGGCCAAGATATTTCTGTAAAGTCTTCCAGAACGCCATCCACCACACTGGGCTATGGGGGTGGAGGGGCGTGCTGGAAACAGGCTGCGTGGCCTTGAGAAAGTCCTTGCTCCCTCTGGCCTCTGTTTCCCTTCTGCACAGGGAGTTTGGGGTTGGGCAAGTGAGAAGACCTCTAAGGATCTTTCCACCCCAGAGGTCTGTGATCCCAGTCAGGGAGTCAGGATGAGGGCCTTATGGGAGGACAGTTTGTCAGCAGCAAAGATGGGGGCACTGAGGCAGAGGGCTGGGAAATCCTCAGCGTTGGGCCCGGGGCCTCACTGGAGATGGAGGCCGGGGCAGGGGCAGACAGGCCAGACTGGGCCTGGCCAGCCGGGAGACAGGGAGGCGGCCCAGGAAGAGAGGGAGGCTGAGGCAGAAAGACGGGCGGGGTACAGGGATGTCTGCGAAGAAGGCACGGTCCCGAGGGGGTGACAGGGCTCCCCCCTCAGATAGTTCCAGGTCCCGGGCCACGGCCAGGATCTCCTGGCGGGCAGCTGTGTTGTGAAGGCCACGGATGTCGAGGAGGGCCGCCACATGCTTCCGCCTGGGGGGAGAGAAATGGACAGGGGCCTGAGGGTCCTCGGCTCCGGATGCACCCCTAGCTCACCTGTGGATCCCACCTGATCCCTGCCCATCCCAGAACCTCTGGAACCCCTTTGCCCCTCCAGATCCTTCCTTCATACCAGCTCCCCCAGCCCCTCTCTCACACCAGCCCTTCTCCAGGACTTCACTTCCCACCAACTATTTCCAAATCCTCCCACTCGCAATCAGTTCCAGAACCCTCACCTCCAAACTCAGCACTAGAATCTTCCTTTTTTTTTTTTTTTTTTCCTTTTTGTCTTTTTTCGTGTCCGGCAACGGATCGCAACCCTCAGTGTTGCACCTGTACCGGACTGGGACCGGCAACGGGATCGCAACCCTCGGCATCGCGCCCGCACCTCGCTCAGCCAGTGAGTGGGAACCGGTCTGTATGTGAGATCCGAACCCTCGGCGGGAGCGCCACTGCACTCCCAAGCGGCCGGCCCTAGAATCTTCCCTTTTACCCCAAGTTTCAGCTCCTGATTAAAATTAACCTTCAATCTGCACCCCCAACTTAGCTCAGACATCCCCTAAATTTCCATCTAAGTACCATCATGCTTACTTAAGTACTGGACTCTACAGAAAACCCTTCTTTTTTTTGGTGGTAGTGGCTGGCCAGTTTGGGGATCCAAACCTGTGACCTTGGTATTACAAGGCTGTGCTCTAATCAACTAAGCTCACTGGCCAGCCCCCAATTTCATTTTTTGGCAGCAGGTCGGTATGGGGCAAAACACCCTTAACTTTATCTTCACTTTGTCCCAAACAACCCCACATTCATCACTCAGGTCTAACCCTGAAGTGTTCGCCCACATTCCCGTCCTGACCCTCACCTCTCCCCAAGGCCAGGTCTGGAAGCTTCCCCACCACTGTGGTTCCACAGCTTTCATCTAAATCTCAACTCAAGGGCTGGCCCATGGCTCACTCGGGAGAGTGTGGTGCTGATAACACCAAGGCCATGGGTTCGGATCCCATATAGGGATGGCCGGTTGGCTCACTGGCTGAGCGTGGTGCTGACAACACCAAGCCAAGGGTTAAGATCCCCTTACCGGTCATCTTTTAAAAAAATAAAAAATAAATAAAAATATGGGCCGGCCCGTGGCTCACTCGGGAGAGTGTGGTGCTGATAACACCAAGGCCACGGGTTCGGATCCCATATAGGGATGGCCGGTTAGCTCACTGGGTGAGCGTGGTGCTGACAACACCAAGTCAAGGGTTAAGATCCCCTTACCGGTCATCTTTATCAAAAAAATAAAAATAAAAATAAATAAATAAAATAAAAATAAAAATAAATAAATCTCAACTCAAGACCTGTCAACCTAGATCCCATTCTGGAACTTTCATCCCCAAATTTGGCCTTGGAACACTTACTTTACCCCCAACCCATTCCCAGAATCATGCTTCAACAAAATTCTACTACAAGACTAAAATATACCTTGGGGACCCTCACAACAACCAGAAATTTCATGCTCAAAACCAGCTCTGTTCTGCAACCCTTGCCCTTAGATCCAACACACTGGAAACTTCCTCTTCACCCCCACCTCCGCTCCAGATCTCCAATCCAAAAGACAACTCCAGAACCACCACCATATTTCAACTCAAGATCCTGAACCCAACATTCATTTCCAGAACTTTGACTTCAAACAGAACTATGGAGTCTTCACTATCACTTTCAATCCAGCTCAGTGTCCCCATCTTCCAATATCCCAGGTTTGGAATCTCCACAGCTCCAAGACATGGCTCAAGAACCTTCTAGTTCAACCGAGCTTCACAACATGGTCCCCAAACCTAACTTTAGAACTGCTGCTCCCAACCAAGCTCGAGAATTCTCAAACTTAGCCTCAGATTCAAATTCAGATTCAAGTTCTGACCCATGATCAGATTCGAGTTCAGGAGCTCCACCTGAGCAGAACTGCGGGTACCCCTTGGGATTCCTCATCCTCAACCCTGGAACCTAAACCCGCTCGTGCCTCACTTGGCTCGGGTGAACACTTCAGGGCTAGATTGGAGTGATGATTGTGGGGCTGTCTAGGACAAAAGCAAAGATGAAGTTAAGGGTTTTCTGTAGAGCCCAGAGCTCAAGTAGGCATGAGGGTACCTGGATGGAAATTTAGGAGACATTTGAGCTCAGTTGGGGGTGAAGACTGAATGTTAATTTTAATCACTCCTTGTTTCTGTGGGGTTTTGTCTGAGCATAGAATGTCTGCATGCACCACCACCAGCACTCACAGAGGGCAGTGTGGTCTGGAGGTCTGGCGCACCGGCTGTAGAGCCAGTCTGCTGTCTGGGGTTCACGTCCCAGCTTTGCCACTTGCTAGTTGTGATGTTTGGGATAAGCTACTTAATTTCTGCATGCCTCGGATGAGTTACTTGCATGTATTTTTCTTTCCTTTTTTAAAGATGACCAGTAAGGGGATTTTAACCCTTGGCTTGGTGTTGTCAGCACCACGCTCTCCCAAGTGAGCCACGGGCCAGCCTTGCATGTACTTTCTTTTTTTTTTTTTTAAAAAGATGACCGGTAAGGGGATCTTAACCCTTGACTTGGTGTTGTCAGCACCCCGCTCTCCCAAGTGAGCCACGGGCCAGCCTTGCATGTACTTTCTTTTTTTTTTTTTAAAAAGATGACCGGTAAGGGGATCTTAACCCTTGACTTGGTGTTGTCAGCACCATGCTCACCCAGTGAGCGAACCGGCCATCCCTATGTGGGATCCGAACCCGGGGCCTTGGTGTTATCAGCACCGCACTCTCCCGAGTGAGCCACCGGGCCGGCCCCCCTGCATGTACTTTCTAAAATAACTTTAATTATACCTCTTGCTTATAGAATAGGCACGTAAGGTGCTTATTTAAACCTGACATAAGGACTCGATAAGCAAGAACTGGTGTTGTTATCGCCATGACCAATGATGAGATGATGATGATGATTATATGAATTCCCTCAATAATTCTATGAAGAAAGAACTATTATCCCCGTGGAACAGAAGAGGAAACTGAGGCTCACAGAAGGTCACACACAAAGGAAGCGGTCCACCAGGATCTGAATGGCGCCTGCCCTTGCCGCCGTCCTAGTGCGTGTGCGCCCGCGTGCCCGTGCGTGTCCCCGTGTCCCCCGCGGCTCCCCTGCCGGGCCGGCCCTTCCTGCCGCCAGGCGGCCCCGCGCCCCCCTGCCCTGGGCTTCCTGTGACCGCCTGTTTGTTTGCGAGCCCTGGTGGCGGTAGCGGCAGCGGCGGCGGCAGAAGGAGGGAAATCTTATTAATAATGCCCTGGCTCCAGCAGGAAACGGCCGTCAGACACGCTCGCCGCCTCCCTCCCTCGCCCAGCGGGCAGGAAAGGCAGGGACTGAGGCCAAGACCCGCCGAGAGACCGCGGCCAAGCGGCGGCTTGCTCAGGATCGGGCGGCCGGCGGGGGCCTCTCACCTGATGTCCGGGTAGTCCCGCACCAGCACCCCCACCTCCACCTGGATGCTGGGCGTGTCTTCCAGCTGCAGGACTTCGGCCAAATGGGGCACCACGGCGTCCAGCCACGAGGCCTGGGACTCCTGCAAGGGTGGGCCTGGGGCTCACACTCTGGCCCCAGTGTTCCCTCCAAACCCACCCTCCTTTCCCAAGCCTTGGCCTCGCCTGCTGTTGCCCCTCCTGGCCTCGGTTTTCCCATCTGTAAAACGGGGCAGAGGATAGACTGTGGACGGAAGTTATCTGGAACTTTTGGAAATTTGAAGAAACGTCAATAATAAAATCTACTCCCAGTTTTGAGATAATTTGGGACTCAGGGATACCCCTCAAAGCCCATTCCAAGTTTGCAAGATGTCACCATTGGGAGGAAACTGGATAAAGTGTACAAGGGAGCTCTCTGAATTCTTTCTTGCATGTGAATCTACAATTATCTCAAAAAAAAAAAAAAAAATCAAGGACTGTGGGCTGGAAACTCCTGGAATAGCGAAGTGAGGTCCTTCCAGCCCTTCTAAGTACAAGTGGGTGCAAATAAGATCTAGTGATTTTAAATTCTCGGATTTGGAATTGTTAGCATCCCGAGTTTCGGCCGCATTTAGCTTCTGCATGCGCTCACAGGATGGCTAATGTTTATGGAGGGTTAGCTCTGTGCCGGGTGCTTCACAGGAACGAACTGATCTGATCCGCGCAACAGTGGATGGGGATCACGGTCTCTCTAACTGGCCAGCTGAGGATGCGCCCGGAGCCCGGCGCTGGCAGTGAGAGCCCATTTGCACGATTTCTACACGCAAAGGGCATGGGTCAGAATGCTATGGGCTGTTATCGGTTGGGTGAGGGTCTTATCCTAAGCCCTGCCCCGCCCCGGGCTTTGAGTCCTGGGATTCGCAGAAGCCATGGTCGCCCTGGTTTCCGAGAACCCCCCTTCCGCCCGCCGCGCTCGCCGCCGCACTGACCAGCCGCCTGA